GTGTTAAAGAGGTTTTTAGAGAGATGGGTATCCAAGTAGAAAATACATGGGCATCAAATTCAGATATGCCTAATTCGTATGAATCTTGCCTCTCCTTTTGCTAGCCAGCCTTGTGACCTTGTGCTAGTTTCTTAAACTTTCTGATCCATAGTCTGTAAGATGAGAAGAATTCAATCTGCCTTGCAATGTTAGTTAGAGACTTAGAGATAAAAGATGTGCAGTAAGCCCTGGCTGGTGTGGTTGAGTGGGCTGAGTGGGGGCCTGTGAACTGAAAGGTCACTGGTTCAATTCCCAGTCAGGGCACATGCCTGCATTGCGGGCCAGGTCCCTAGTTGGGGGCTGTTTCTCTCAGACATCAGTGTTTCTTTCCCTCTTTTTCTCCCTTCTCTCTAAAACTAAATAAATATATATATTTAAAAAGATGTAAAATGCATAGTACTATGTACATAGTAGGTGCTCAACAAATGATGTTGTGCATGCTTAATTTTTAGTCTTCATTCTAGTGACAGCCACCAATACGCAGCCCTGTCTTGAATTAATTCTCACTTTTAAAACAAGATCACAGTCTTGAAGTTTTCATTGCAGTAAGTAAGTTGGATTTACCTTGCCTGTCATGAGAGTCCTGAAGAATATTTTATGTGATTAGAAAATCCTGAGAACCAGAGATTCTCAACTGGGGACAGTTTTGCTCCTGGTTCTGCCACCAGCAAAAATGGCATATTCTGCCTTGCCTGAAGACATTTTTGGTTGCCACAACTGGAAGGTACTATTGACTTTTACTGGGCAGATACCAGGGATGCTGTTAAACATTCTACAACACACAGGACAACTCCCCCAAACAAAAAATTATTCAGTCCAAAATGTTAATAATGCTGAAGTTGAGAAATGCTGCTCTAAATTCATTCTACTGTAGACTTTAAAAAGTCAGCACAATATAGATGTTTTTTGTTTGTTTGTTTTTTTAAAGCCTAGGCTTAAGGAGTCTTGGGTTAAAGTTCCAGTTCTGTTAACAACAAGCAATGCAGTACAGGGCAAGTCAACTCCTTTATACCTTGATGTAATTTTTAATAAATTATCATTTAACTTGTTCCTGTGTCCTCTGTTTCCTACAATTCAAATTAGCTCTAGAACTGCACTGTCTAGTACAGTAACCTCATGTGACTATTTAAGTTAAAGGAAACTAAAATTCACTTCTCAGTTGTAGAAGTCACATGTAAATTGTTCAAGAATTACATATGACTAGTGGTTGTTATACTGAAATCATAAAAGCAAAGCTTATTCCCTCTCTTGGGAGATGTCAGAAGCCTCAGCAGAGGAAGACTGTTGGCAACTAGCTGAAACCCAGATGCCATCAGCAGAATTTGACAGACTCAAGAATGGGCTGAGGCCCACACTCGCTACTCTACAAGGATAATGAAGACATTGGAAGAGAACAATCGAAAGGTAGGACTTTGAGGAGGGTCACATGGAAAACTGATGAGAATTGGGAGAGCTAAGGGAATTGGCAGTGTCCAGTAATCTTTGGGAGACTTCAAGTCTTCAGCATAAGAACTGCTTAGTCCTTTGCTGCAATCCAGCATGTAATTCATCTGAGTGAAAATGGAAAGGAGACATTAAAATGGGATAATCCTTGCTCACAGAACTTTAATGGTAACTAGCCTATCTCACTATTAGAATCATTAGATGGAGAATTAACTAGCAAGTTCTTCAGAGACAGTGTAAATTGTAAGTTCCCTGACCTTCTCCTCTTTAGTGCATAGCTAGAGACCTCCTGTGGGACAGAAAGGACCTGCCACACAGGTTACACGCACTCATCTTTTGTGAGCTAACTAGGTTAAGTCAGAGTCCTGGAGTTTTCCTACTGGTGACAAAGCTGAGGCCTGATTGGTGCTATGATGTGGATGTGAAAAACAAAGTACTGCCATCCTCTGTGTCCCAACAGGAACATCTACTTGTCACACCAGATGATGTATTTCTCTCTAGACATAACTGCAATGATGTCATGTTTGAAGATTCAATGCCTACATGTAGCCATTGATTTGGTTTTGTTTCACAAACTATGTCTCTAATATCTTTGTCACTAGACACAAAGGGGAAGGAAGGTGAAGAAAATGGGAGTAGATGGATGCAAATCTATCAGTACCACTCCAAAGCCAAATTCATCTTGTATTAACAGTGGAAATGTTAATACTCAAAGTGTAGGCTATGGATCAGTAGCATTGGCATTAGCTGGGAGCTGGGTAGAATGCTGACCCATGTATGAATTCTAGAACTACTGAATCAAAATCAGCATGTTACCAAGATTCCTGGACGATTGGCATGCACCTGAAAGTTTCTGAGGGAAACATTGAGAAACAATGTGTACAACAATACTATCAACTTTGTTTATGAACATATTTTTGCTATCATTTACAAATTGATTACATTTATATTTTATAGTGCTATTCTTATGATGTGTCCAACATGCTGTAAAGTAACAGTTTGTAGTGGGAGCAAAATCAAAGGTTGAATAGTACAGATATATAGTGGAAGAGGTAATTTATTTCTTTCATTATACAGTCTTCAAATATTTATTGAGCTCCTATTGTGTTTAAGACATTATTCAAGGACCTGAAACTATAGCAGTGAATAAAGTCCCTGTTTTCTGGGTTCTTACATTTTATTAGGGGGAACTCATAATAAACAAAGAAGTCATGTCAGCTGGCAAGTGCTACAGAGAAAAATAAAGGGAGGAAAAGGCATACCATTTTTAAAGGGTCAGGGAATGAATGTTTCACTGATGTCTTATTCTATTTAGGCTGCTATAAAAAATACCACACTGGATTGTTTCTAACGGAAATTAATTTTCACAGTTCTGGAGACTGAAGTCCTAGCATGCTAGCATGGTTAGATGAATGCCCTCTTCCAACTCCCAGGCTTCTCCTTGTGTACTCACAGGCAGAGAGGGTTAGTGTGTTCTCTGTGAGATGTATTTCATAAAAGCAATAATCCCATTCATGAGAGCTCCTCCCTCAAGACCTAAGTATCTTGCAAAGGTCCCCAGCCCCTAATACCATCATCTCAGGGGTTAGGATGCCAACAGATGAAATTTGGAGTACAAAATCTTCCAGACTGCAGCAATGGAAAAGGGGATGCTTGAGCAGAGACTTGGGGATTGTGTGTGGACATCAGGGGAAAGGGCATTTCAGGTTGAGGGACAGTTTATTTAAAATCCCTGAGAGAGGAGTGTGCTTTGTGTATTTGAGGAGCAGCAAGGAAGCCATGTGTCTATAATGAAATAAGGGAAGACCAGGGTACTAGAGAAATTAGGGAAATGTGGAAGCAAAGCACAGGTCCATGCTGGCCCTTTCAAATAGGATGGGAAGCCATTGGAAAGGTTTCTATGTTAAAAGATCACTTTTGTTGCAATGTTGTAAACCATCCACAGGTGGGGAGTGTGCATGGGTGGAAGCAGAAAGAAAAACTGGAAGGCTTTACAATATACCAGAAACGATTTAGAAGTTACAGCTTAAAGAATTAGATTGAATGTGAGGTATATGTGATAGATGGCAAGGATACTCTCTAGGTTCTTCGCCTGCCAGATGGAAGAATAGTACTCCTGAGTATCATAAACGGGATTCCTCACCCTCCTCCTGAAGTTTTCACATGCCTGCTAGACAATCAAGGAGAGATGGCGAAAAGGCATGATTTGCGAAGAACTGCTCTAAATGACTCTCACCTGTGTCATCTTGGAGTGAAGTCGCCATTAATAGTAAAGGTATGGGCATGGCTGCGTCCCAACAATCTTTACAACACCGAAACTTGAATTTCACCTAATTTTCACATATCATGAATTATTCTTATTTTGATTTTGTTAAGTAAGTTGTCTGAAAGACCTAAATATGTACTGTCTGGCTTTTTACAGTTTGCTGACTGCTGGTGTATATGAAACAAGATGGGACTAGTTGATATGTATGTGGGGTTTCATTACACTAGTTTCCTTTTGTATGCTTGACATTTTTCACAACAAAAAGTTTGTTAAATGCGTAGTTGTACCAAAGTTGATTAACCTTATGGATCTTCCTCTCTCCCTTTAAACCCCTCGCCCCGAAAGTTGTATGTCGCAAATGCAGCCATTTCCCTTTTGTTTCTTTTTCTGAAAGAGCAAAACCATTTTTGAAACCTTTAATAGTAAAATAAGCCTTTTGGACTTAACACTCAACGAGGCATGAACACGTTTAAGGAAAAGGATTTTTTTTGCGTGGGGGCGTGGGGCAGTTGTCTGTTTTCACATCGTTATATACTATCAAAACCAAGCCCACTTTTATAACAAGAACTCAACACAATACACACTAGCTCTCAGTGTATTACTCCCCGCCCTTCGATTATTCCCGGAAATGACGCTATCAGCCGAACGCTACGTCTGAAGGACTCAAGCAGTGCCCGGGTGTGGACGTCAGCACGCCGGCCCCCCCAATACACGGCCCTGACTCGGGGAAGACCGGCGAGCCCTAGCTGGCGCCAGGCGCCAAGTTTTGAGGAGCAGGAGAAACTGAGACTGCGCAAGTATGCTGGGGCGGGGCTCCAGGTCACCCCGCCTGAAGCCCCGCCCCATGCCAGCATGGGTGACCAATGAACATTGAGTGCCCTGGGGCCGGATAAATTTTCAGAGGCCGGAATGATTAGCCGAGGGGACAGCCCCGCCCCCGCTCCTCCCGGCCATCGGGCCCCGCCTCCCTCCCCTGCCCGCCCCCTAGCTGCGGGGTGACACGGGGCGACTCGGGGCTTCGGGTTGGTTAGGGGGCAAGGGAAGCAAGTTGGACTGAGTGCGGCGACGGCGCGACCCCCTAACGTGAGCGCGGTGAGGGAGCGGGTGGTAGGGAAGAGGGGTTTGCGTGGCAGAAATGGGAGGGCCCCGGGTGCTGGGTCGTGAGCGGGGTGTAGAATGGGGGGGCGGCAGTGAGGGGGCGAGGTTTACTTGGGTGTGTCCTGGCGCGGTGGGACGGGCGTGGAGGGCTGGTGGGAGACGGAGAGCAATCAGTGCCCCATTTCCAAAGCTTTTCTTGGCAGCTTGGCACACCTTAAGTTTGCCTCTGTTTTGGTTGTCTGGGATGCGAGGGGGAAGTTTAAAGATCTCCGGAAAAAGCTCGGAGGCTTTCCCGGGCTATTTTTCTTGCGGGCGCGAGCACTCTTTTCTTCCTGGATGGGAAAAGGTAGACAGGCAAGGTGGGCAGGTTGATTTTCACTCTCCGAGGAGTGTTAAACAAACAAACCAGGAATTCCTCACCCTGCACCCCGCGCCCTGCCCTGCAACGCAACGGCAAACACTCCCAAGTTTAAGAAGCAGACTAGAAAATTGTAAGGAATTCTGTATGTCAGAAATAAGTGTGCTTTTTCTTTTTAACATCGTGTTGCTGTTTATTATCAGTGGACGCATTTTTGGTTATGAGCACGACCTAAAGGTTTCTGACTTTACTTCATGTTAAAATACTTTTAGGTATAATGTTTTCCTGAACTACAAGTTTCTGTGAAATCTTATCTAACAAGTGCAAATAAAAGCTTACTAGCCTGTTCACGTGGGAAGTGAAGTAGATAAAATCTCTAGTTCTGATAAAATATAAAATTTTTAATACGACCTTTTTCTGGCAAATATTTGCATATTTTACACTTTCACAGGTTTATTTAATTGCCCAGCTACCACTGATGAAGATAAGTTGGAGTAACTGCTGAAACTGAATTTTATTGACCAGAAGCCGATTTATTTCACATCTTTTTGTTTTCCCTACTGCTTTGAGCTTTACTGTTAACAGCTGAAAAACTTGGAAAATAAAATGAACATGCTGTGGTCTTGAACATAATTTTTTTTTTTTTGAGGAAAAATTAAACGGCGAGTGAAAGCCAGAATGGCATCCAGAGAGAGGCTCTTTGAACTTTGGATGCTTTATTGTACAAAGGTAACTGCTTTCTTTTTTACTTCTAAGTTTTAAAATACTTCGTTATAAAATTTTGTGACTGGCCTTATACTCACTTTATTTAATGAGTAATAGTGTATTTATTGATAGCAATGACCCAGAATTTAAAAACACAGGATTTGCTGTTTTCCATTTTTTTCCGGTTTGAACATATGCACAGTGTTGGCATACTATTAAAAACTGTAGGGTGTGATTTTTTTATTCGATATTTATCTTCAGTGATCCCCAAATCGTGTAAGTAAAATTATTACCTCAAGTGAAAAATAAAATATTTTAATTTTTGTTTGTGCTTTTCCTCTCACGAGTGGGAGAATAGAAATGTTTTTACAAGAAGGGCATTAAGCATTTTTTTATGGTTAACCTTTTAAATTGTGTAAAAAAGGTTAGTGATTATATAAAAAGGTTATCGAAATGGTTACTCTAAGCTTGCTGTGATATTAGCATTAACGGGTGTTGTTTCATGTGATCCTCAGAACAGTTCTGTGAGATGGGCATTGTAATTGCCCCTTTTCACCCTTGCAGAGGATAAGGGGCCAGCAGTAGCAGAACTGAGCAGGAAACTAATTGAAGTCCATGGTCTTATCCATTATGACTTTTTAATATTTTTGATTTTGTCATTCAAAAATAATTTTCTTTCTTTACCTTTCTGTGAATTTTTACATGTTAGCTTTAATTTTTGATTGTTGGAGGAGAAGGCTACTACTAAAAACATCTTTTTCAAGTGAGGAGCTATGTTACTACTTTGAAGATATTAGCAAGGGTCAGAGAAACATCTTCAGTCTCCTTAAGTTACTTTAGGTGTGTGGTGAAATTTTCCAGTCTCAGCTTCCATTTCTGCATTATCCTTTCTGGTTCCTTTTCTATACTTTCAGCTCTTTAAAGAACAAGTTATTCTTTAACGAGTGTTTGGCATTTATTTGTAATATTAAATTTTAGCAGTCACACTGGAATGTTCTTTGATTTTCTGGTTTGGTATTTCTTACAATTAAGGGAAGATGTATACTGCGAAATGTTTAATATGGATTTTTAAAATAGCTTTTAGTCTTCTGTAATTTAATGCCAGAAATGTCTTTTTAAAAATAGACCACTCTTCCAATAAAAAAAGAATCCAAATCACCAGACACTTTTGAAAATAGTCACTAACACATGTGAGTCAAAAATTAAAACATATTTTACTATGAATGCATAATAGTTTTAAAAGTATTTATTTTAAGAATACATCAAACTTACTAGGTTTTATTGTTTTCTGGGTGACAAAAGGTAAATGGGGTTACATTGTCTGATTAATAAGTTATGTTGTTTCTAGGTTGAGTTCATGTTTTATTTAAATGACAGTTTTATTGAAAAGATAGTATGATTCATTGCCATACACAAGATTTTATTCTTAATGACATTTAATGTAAACGTGAATCCTTCTGTTCATTAAAATCTAAGCAAATAGTGATGGCCCCTTTTTTTTGTTTTGTTTTAAAATTTATTTAATTACTGTTCAAGTATAGTTTTCTGTTTTTTACTCCCATGAAGGCCCTTTATAGTCAGATTTTGAAGGCTCTTCTTGGACAGGAGATAAGTCCTATTTTATGTGTAAGATTTAAATCACTTGTGCATTTAAGATTTAAACTTTTTTCAACCGTTTTCAAAACATTGTTATTTAATATGATGATTTTATGTTTCACCTGTTCATGAATATGCTGCTTGTAAGCGAGACAACTTTCCCACAAACACCTTGAATTCAAGTGGCTTACATAGATACATCATAGATTTAACAGATCTCCCTAGTGAGGAGGGTTACCAAACACTCAGTTCTCTGTGCTTTCTCTCTAGCTTTTTTGCCCTCACTGGAGCACACAGCCCTTCAGGCTACCTGACTGTTTTTCTTTTCACCTGACTGACTTTGAAGATTTTTTTTACACCTTGGGCTTTCAGACTTCAGGACTACTTAGATCTTCTTTTAATTTAGCTCCAACTTGGGCTTGCAATTGTGGAGTCTAGTTTTGGCTTTGCTGGTATTTTGTCTTGTGACCTTGAGTAAGACTTACCTCTTTGGGTCTCAGTTTTCTCACTTGTCAGGTAGTGATGGTGTGTATGTGCAGGGAGAGTGTTTGTCTAATTCACCATTAAGATTTTAGTTCATTTGTTTTGACCTCTGAAGGACATGGAGTTCTTTTGTCCGTATTTTATGGATGTTCATGTAGAACCCTATAGTTCATCTTTCCTTTTTAAACTTTGTTATGGAAAATTTCAAGGAGGCACAAATAGAGAAGATACTACAATGAACTCTTTTTGTGTCTGTCACCTACTCTAATAATTATCAATTTCTTTTCAGTAATGTTTCATCTATAAGCCTACACTACACCATCTCTACCCCTGAATTATTTTGAAGCAAGTTCTGGACAGCATATTATCTTATCCATAAAGATTTTAAAATATATGTATAAATAATAACTTCTTTAAAATAATTGCAATATGGTAATTCTTTAAAAAATCAAATATCTGGTTGGTGTTCAGATTTTCCTGGTAGTACCATAAATGTTTTTATTTTTCTGCTGTTTGACTCCGTATTTAAACAAAGCACCTATTTTGTTGAAAATATCTTAAGTTTTTAATCTGTGTTGCCCTTCACCACACTTTTTAATTCCTTTTATATGTTGAAGAAACCAGGTTTTAACATTAGAGTTTTCCCCGTCTGGGTTTTGCTAGTTGAATTCCCTTGATGTAAATTATTTGTTCCTCCCCACTGGTGTCTGCAAACTTGGAATATCTAGAGGCTTGATTGATTCACATTCTATTTGGCATAGTGAGGCTAGAATATCTTGGGAGTGTCTCGGCTATTGGATTTTGTATATATGAATTAATTGTTTCATTAGGAGTTTGCAAAACTTGATATTCAATCCTATCATTTCTTTATATATTTCTTTATATACTAGTAGAACATATATAGAGAAATGTCCCCTCATCAGTCATTTGATGACAGTTCTTTTTTTTTTTTTTAACTTAGTTTTATTCTTGGAGAGAGGAGAAGGGTGGGAGAAAGAGAGGAAGAGAAACATCAGTGTGTGAGGGAAACAACGATCTGTTTGGTGCCTCTTGTTTGCCCCCAAACGGGTACCCGGCCTGCAACCCAGGCATGTTCCCTGATTGAGAATTGAACTGCTACACTTTGGTTCACAAACTATCACTCAGTCCACCGAGCCATACCAGGCAGGGCTTGATGACAATTCTTAAAGGGAACGCAGGCTGAATAACTGTTTGGTTTTTCTCTTTGTATTTACAGTGACTTGATTTACCAGCCCTTCTAAAGTGACCATTTTTTCTTAATTATCGAGTTTATCTTTAATGGTGAAATGTAAACATGGTTTATTATTTTGCTGCCCTAGTTGGTATGCTATTCATACCAAACATTATATACACACCTGATTAAAGAAGATGACTTTGAAGACTTTTGAAGGTCATCTTTCAGGGCATTAAGGTTAAGACATACTTTTTATTTGTAACAGTGCTAACCTTAGCACAGGTATTCTGCCCTGTATTAACAGTGGATTAATATTAAGGTACCATCACCCTGTTTGTATGTAATGTGATGTTTTATTTTATTAAAAAATTTTTATTTATTTATCTTTAGATGGGAAGGGAAAGAGAAGGAGAGAAATATCAATGTGTGGTTGCCTCTCTTGTGTCCCCTGCCGGGAACTGGCCTGCAACCCAGGTATGTGCCCTGACTGGGAATTGAACCTCGATCTTTTGGTTCAGAGGCCCGTGCTCAATCCACTGAGCTATACCAGCCAGGGTGTAATGTGATGTTTTAAAAGTTGCCATTGGAGCATTATAAAACTTTCATAGGGCTCTGGCTGGTGTGGTTCAGTGGATTGAGGGCTGGCCTGTGAATTGAACAGATGCTGGTTTACTTCCTAGTTGGGGCACATGCCTGGGTTGTGGGCCATGTCCCCATCTGGGGGTGTGCAAGAGGCAACGTATTGATGTATCTCTCGAACATCAGTGTTTCTTTCCCTCTCTCCCTTTCTTCCCCTCTCTAAAATAAATAAGTGAAATTTAAAAAAAATTAAAAGGTTAGTAGGTATGTAACATAGGTAGGATTATGTTAGAAACAACACTTTGGTGATATTATTCAATCAAAGGAGTACAAAGAGAGTGTACAAATATCTCTTTTTTATATTTGGGTACATTTTGCAAGCCTATATAGTATGATTAAAGTCATTTAAATTGAACTAAAATAAATAATTGGTTTCAGTTTTTTGCAGATGGGTATCCACATATTAAACTCAGTAATTTGGGTGAAAAAATTGCAGTTTTTTTTAAAGCAAAGGCCAATTTCTTAATGGAAGCGGCTTTGAGTTATTGTTGGCTGGTGTCTATGTTATTTTCATGTTGGCGCATTTAGGCTGAAGACATTTCTAAACAACTTCTTTTTTTAATCCTGGGGATAAATTTTTTTAAACTGATTTTAAAGAGGAACGCAGTGATGAAGAGAAAGAAAGAGCAAGAAGAAAGAGAAAGAAAAGAAGGATCCATCAACTGGTTGTGTCCTGTAGGAGCCCTGACCAGGGATCGAACCCACAACCTTTTGGCATTCAGGAGAAAGCTCCATCCCACTGACCCACCCGGCCAAGGCTGCAGTTTGTTTTTTCAACCAAACTATAGGTTCAACGTTTCATTTTCTCCTCCTAGGTGTAAGATTTAATTGCATTCTTAGAAACATCTTCTGGTAGGTTATTTGTTAAATGCATATAATTATCATCATGTAATATATGCAGGAAAATTTCTTATCACCCAACATTCATGCTTTCTGCAGGTTCTTTCACCAGTGTATGAGAGTAATTCAAATGACATAGTCTGAACTTTTCTTGCCTCTAAATGGTCATCCCCACCCAGGTTCAGGGATTTTTATTAACAGTGCATTTCATATAGTTCTTGTAAGTTAAACATTAATTTGAACACAGTTAATATATCTGGATTTTGGTTAA